TCTCAAAACATGCATCGGAGGCGGGTCAGGCAGCCTCTCCCACCACCCTGCCCTCCCGACAGTCACTTCTTTGACAGGGAGGCAGCGGTCGATTGTGACAGCGAGATCTGACTGCACTTCTCAAAGACGGCCTCGGCTGAGAGCTTGGGCAGCCCCTGGTCCAGAGGGCACTCATCCACCAAGCTGTTCATGGGCGTGGGGGGCAGCGGAGGGTCCTCCTCATCCTGGCTCAGGGCTGGAGTCAGGGAGTTCCCTGCCCTGTCCGCTTCCTTGTCTACCTGTTCCCTGGACACGCCCGCTGTCTCAGGCTGCCCGGGGGAGACCGTCGAGGAGTCAAAATACGCTGACAGGGCTTCCTGGAGCAGAGGCAACAGCTTCTTCCGAGAGACCTGGGTGTTGCCTTGAAGGTAGGCTTGGAGGTGAGGGTGGGTGCTTGGGACGGGCGTCAGCTTCAGGCACGGAGAGTCAGAGCGTTCCAGGACTCCACAGATCTAAAGAGAAGGCAAGAACAGAGAAATGAGATCTAATAAGGGTGGTAGAGCTGAAGCTTCAAAGTGAGAGGATTTATAGGAGAGAAAACGTATTTTTTTAAGATTTTTACCACGGGGTGCATGCATTCACAGAGACAGAGAAGGAAAGTGAGAAATTGCCCCCAGTAGGGATGGCCATGTCACAATCACTTCTCTTCCATCCTCCCGTGGGGATTTTGGGCACACATGTGCACGTGCCCCATGTGTTTTTCAAGCCTCTGGGCCTGAGACCCAAAACTGTGTAGTCAGTCACATGGAATCCAGTGCCTTAACCACCATGCTACCTGTTGGCCTAAAGAGAAAACATTTTTTTAAAAAGATTTATTTATTTTTAATTTTATTTATTATCATTATTCTTCAATTTTGACCAGAGAGAGATGGAAAGAGAGAAAGGGAGAGTGAGAAAGCAAGCTGTCAGGTTCTGGACCCGAACTGTGGTTGGCCATGTGAGAGTCCAACACCTCAGCCACCATGCCACCTGCCAGCCCCCGAGAAAACTATTTTTAGAGAGAAAACTATTTTTGGTATAGGGTGTGTGTGCTCGCAAAAGAGACAGACAGAAAGTGAGAAATCACCTCCCCCCGAGGGGATGGCCACACTGTAATCCCTTCTCTTCCATTCTCCTCTTGGGATTTTGGGCACGCATATATATATGCCCCGTATGAGTTTGAAGCCTCAGGGTCCAGGACTAAAGCCACAGTCAGCCATATGAGAGTCCAGCACCTCAACCACTACGCCACCAGCTAGCCCTAAGAAAACTTTACTTTTAAAGTTAATTTATTTACCATTATTTTTTAATTTGCTATCAAGCACACACGCTCACCAGAGAAAGTGAGAAAGCAAACTGCCAGGTTCAGGACTCAAGAGTCCAGTGCCTAGTAATGGCTATGTCGCTGGACTCCCACGTAGTCGACCGCGGTTCGCGTCCCGGACCTGGTGACTTAAAACTCACGCCGGGCGCGTGTGCGTGCGTGCCCAAGATCCCGAGAGGAGAATGGAGGAGAAGGGATTGCAGTGTGGCCATCCCCCCTGGGGGGTGATTTCTTGCTTTCTGTCTCTCTGTCTCTCTCTGTCTGTCTGGCGAGCGCACGCGCCCTATAGTGAAAACCTCTCCAAAAAAAAAAGAGTCCAGTGCCTCAACCATCATGCCACCTTCTGGCCCCCCAAGAAAATTTTTTAAAATTAAGTTCATTGCTTGAAACAAAATGAATATTACTAACATACATAGTATTTTAGAAACAGAAGTATTTTAGGGACCAGCAGGTAGCATAATGGCTATGTCACTGGACTCCCACGTAGTCAACCGCGGTTCGCGTCCTGGACTTGGTGGCTTAAACTCATGCCGGGCGCGTGTGCGTGCGTGCCCAAGATCCCGAGAGGAGAATGGAGGAGAAGGGATTGCAGTGTGGCCATCCCCCCTGGGGGGTGATTTCTTGCTTTCTGTCTCTCTGTCTCTGTCTGTCTGGCGAGCGCACGCGCCCTATAGCAAAAACTTCTAAAAAAAAAAAAGAAACAGAAGCATTTTCGATCATACATTTTATATTTTTTTGGAGAGGTTTTCACTATGGGGCATGTGCACTTGCCATAATGACCAAGAGACATAGAGACAGAGAGCAAGAAATCACCCCCCAGGGGGGATGGCCACACTGCAATCCCTTCTCCTCCATTCTCCTCTTGGGATCTTGGGCATGCACGCACATGTGCCCAGCGTGAGTTTAAGCCACCGGGTCTGGGACTCGAACTGCGGTTGACTACATGGGAGTCCAATGACATAGCCATTATGCCAACTGCTGGTCCCTTATTTTATTTTACTAATAAGGAGAGCAGAGGCTGGATGGTGGTGTGGTAGTAAAATGCAATGCTCTACAAGGCAATCCCACATGGGAGGGTGCCTGGTTCAAGTTCAGATACTCCCTGGGTATTCCAGGCATGTATTCCCTTGGTCCAGGGGTGGCTAATACTATGGGTAGATTGTGAAACTAAGATGCTGCCTCTCTGTCATCATGGAATGAGTAAATAAACTTAATAAAAAAGAGAGAGAGAAAAAGGGGACCAGCAGGTGGCGTGGTGGTTAAGGTACTGGACACTCCCACATGGCCAATCACAGTTCAAGTCCCAGACCCAGTGGCTTGCTTTCTCACTTTCCCTTTTTCTCTCTCTCTGTTTCACTCTGTCCCTCTCTGGTCAAAATTAAAAATAAATAAAGTGAAATAAAATAATTATTAAATAAATACTATCTCATTTAATCTTCACAATTACCTTATAAGATTGGTATTACTGGGGCCAGCAAGTGGTGTGGTAGTTAAGGTGCTTCCCACATGGCTGATCATGGTTTGAGTCCTGGACCTGGCGGCTTTCTCTCTCTCTCTCTCTCTCTCTCAGTCTTTCTCTGGCAAAACTCATGTGAAAATAATAATAATAATAAATAAAGTTAAATAAAATAATTAAGAAAAAAAAAAGATTGGTATTACTATCACCCTCATTTAAAGTAGAGAAAACAGGCTTGGATAAATCAGGAAATTTGCATAGGGTAATAGTTTACATGAAAAAAACTGACACATGAACACACAGGTCTGTCTCCAAGGCCAGTGTTCTAAGCCACTGTGGTACATGACCCCTGACCCAGACAGGAAGGAGAGAGGAGCTAGGGCAGGGCCCACCGTAAAAAGGGGACTCCTCTTTCACAGCTCAGAGGCAACCTGGGCATGGTAGAGCAGCTGTCTGCACAGTTTCAGGAGAGCAGCAGAGGGCACTAGATTCTGGAAGGAGGAGGCACTTAGGGCCAAGGTACTCTTTCTTTCGATATGGGGTTAGTAAGAGCTGCCATTTACTGAATGCTTATTCACGCCCAGCAACGTGCCCAAGCATGCTTCTTGCCTTCCTATGAGGTTACATCCCAATAAACCTGTCGTATGTTGAAAACACCACAAGGCAGGCCAGCTGGTGGCGTGGTGGTCAAGGTGGCTGCATCCCACATGGCCAGCTGTGTAGTTTCAGTTTCAGACATGGTGTACTGAAAAACATGCCAGGCACATGTGTGTGTGCACCCCGAATTCCTCAAGGAGCATGGAGAAGAAGGGACTGTAGTGTGGCCATCTCTCCCTGGGGGGTGCTTTCTCACTTTCCCTCTCTCTCAGGCGAATGCCCATGTCTTATGGCAAATTAAAAAAGAAAAAAGAAAAGAAAATATCACATGTCAAAACTGCATTCAAGGGATCAATGGATGGCATGATGGATATGCCACTGGACTCCCACATAGTCGACAGTGGTTTGAGTCCCAGACTCGGAGGCTTAAAACTCATGCTGGGTATGTGTGTGTACATGCTCAAAATCCTGAGAAGACAAGGGATTGTTGCATGGCCACCCCTCCTGGGGGTGATTTCTCACTTTCTGTCTATTTCTCTGGCGAGTGCATGTGCCCTATAGCAAAATTCTCTCTCTAAAAAATAAAAAAAAAAAAGCATTCAATACCAGGAGATTTAAAAAGCTTTGTGGAAAATGGAATTTAAATATGAGTTAATTTTGGTGTAAAATATTTAAAAATCTATGTAAAAGATTTTTTCTTTTTTTTGAGAGGTTTTCACTATAGGGCGCGTGCGCTCACCAGACAGAGACAGAGAGACAGAAAGCGAGAAATCACCCCCCAGGGGGGATGGCCACGCTGTAATCCCTTCTCTTCCATTCTCCTCTCAGATCTTGGGCACGCACACACATGTGCCCGGCGAGAGTTTTAAGCCACCAGGTCTGGGACGCAAACCGCGGTCAACTACGTGGGAGTCCAGCGACATAGCCATTACGCTAACTGCTG